TGTAGGGAAAATGATTTGTGGTACAATGGTGTGCGACTGGTGGTTTGCAGTGTGCGTGCTTGCATTTCTAAGATCTCTGTTAGCGTCTTTTGCGCTGGTATCGGGCATGATCGCTGTGATGCAGCCGGTGTACGTTGCAGAAAATCTACAGGACCGTTTAGTTTGTGATAGTGCGTCAGTCCGTGCATATGTCGCCTCGTTGTCAGTCCATGCCATCCTAACTCAGTTCGTGGTTTGTCGGATGGCGTTCTGAAGAGTGCCCCGGTCACCAGTCTCGCAGTCTGTTTAGTAGTGTTTCAAGTCTGATTGCATCCTGTACTGTGATGTGTCCGTCGCAGATGGCGTTGCAGTACTCAAAAAGAGTTTGACGTACACTTGGTACATTTGTACGAGAATGGGCCTTGGTGTGTGCTGTATTATCGGATACAGGGGGCTGCGTGGTTTGAATATTTTGCGGCATGTTTTGGTGATGTGTTGGTGCAAACGGAGATCTTTGGAAAACGTCATGTCAAGGTGTGTGTGTGGGGGGGGGGGGTCGAATGTAAGCGCTGGTGACTGATGCTCCTGCTTATATGAGAATGTCTGTTCGATTGTTTTTGTTACATTAAATGTGATGGCCCCTTGTCGACCATATTTGTGTATTTCGTCAAGGTCGTGTCGGTCGTGCGTAAATCAGTCCTGGTGTGTGAGAGGTATAGAAAGAGGTGTCGTCAGCGAAGAAAAGAACATCATTCTGTGTCCGACTGAAGAGTCCGTCGAGGAGAATGGGTGCTAGTAGAGGCCCTAGTACGGAGCCCCGCAGGCAGCCTGCGTTTATGGTTTCGGTCTTGAAAACTGACACGTGTTCGTACTCTCCGTCGTCTGTGTCTTGGTAGTATGGCCTAAGCCAGTCTAAAAGTCGTCCAGTGATTGCAAAGCTATATTTGCACTTGTGCAATAGACCATTACTCCATATGTTGTCAAAGTATTTAGAAATGTCGGAATAGATTGACGTAAAGTCGCGTCCTGTGTCAAGCGACTTGTATATACTGTGCGTCAAAAAAGGGAGCCTTGTCCGATTGTTGTCTGAGAAAGGGGAATGCCGGTGAAATGATCGAATATATTTTTACAGACTATTTTTCGTAAACTTTTGAAGGTGCCAAAATGATGTCTATTGGCCAATAGCAGGAATAATCGGATGGTGAGCCATTGCTTTTAAGTATAGCTTTGATGTCTTTCTCTTTCAACTTACTGAGAAATATTTCTGACGTTAATGATTTATTAAACAACTGTGCTAATGGTTTGGAGGTGAGAAGTGCAATTAGCGTCAGCAATTTGACATGAATTCCGTCGAGGCCCGTGGATTTGTTTGGATCCAGGGAGTTAATGATTTGTAGGACTTCTTGTCCCGAAATGGTGACGTTTCCTAAGGTGGGTACCAGCGGTGCATTGATGGTGTTGGTCGGTTGCAGCGCTTGGAAGTCTGCATTGTTTGGCGTGGATTGAACGGCGAAGTGGTTGTTAAGTAATGTTTCTTTTTCGTAACTGCCATTCCTACATTTCTAACTACATTCGTGTACTCTGTCATACTGTTACGCAGACTAATCGAAAAACGTAACTAGACCAAACCGATTCCGCTTACCGCACGGCAGCGACCGTAGCCAACGAACATCCTCGAGCCTCAAAGCATGTCTAAGCCAGCAAGCAACCGATTCCACGATGGTGAATGCATCGCCTTTAGTATCAGCAGCACCACATGCTCCACGCTGCGTTGCACGACCGGTTCTGCTCGCCTTTCATCGGATCCGTCACCTTGCCAACAGCGGTCAGACTACCAGCTCTAGTGGGCCGGTTCATGAACTGGTCATCGGTCACTCGAATGTCCTTCACTGGTGCCTAAGATCGATTCACGCGGTGCCTCGTACTCCTCGTGAGCAAAAGCTTGGCATTATGTGTGTCACTGAGATTCGGCTATCAAGTCCTGTCACAGATAGAAAATTGGTGTTTCCTGGTTACAGACTGGTGCGCCGAGACCGCTCCGGTACAACCCGAGGCGGTGGTGTGCCTATGCCAGGAAAACGGCGCCATAAACGTCCTTCCAATTACAAGCACAGGAGATGTCGACGAGTCGCTCTGGGTGTCGGTCTCGGGCGGCGTGCAGCGCTCTGTTATTGTGGGCGTTATCTACCGTCCACCGTATCAGCCGGTGTCGGACGGTCTGGATAGCTTACACAGCCCACTGCGTGCTGCTGTGAGCCCGGGAAAACCGATCTTCTGCCTTGGTGAAACGAATAATTGACCTGTGGCGTGTGGATGGCACTGATGCGAATCGTTATCGCTTTGTTTTGAGCGACCTAAGTCTGCTCCAACTCATCAAGGGCCCTCTGCACCTGGACCCGACCAAGACCCTCTCAATTCACAGCATAACCAACATTCCTGACCTGGAGTCATCTATCCAGGGATCCAGGTGTGCCACGCAGGGCTTTTTCGTATCATACGGCCTCACCCTGGAGCCGCCTGCTGCCGACCATCACCGTCTCTCGCACCAGCAAGGAACTTCGCACCAGACTTGGCGATCTAGATGGTGCCGTTGTGTTGTCTTACGACGTGATGGTTGATAACGTGCGAATGTGCCAGCATTGTTGTCGTATTTTATTAGTGCACTCGTGTTGCAATTACAATTATACCGGATCAAAGAATAAGCCATTTATCGGAATTATTCGTGAATAAAATGATTATGAACTATCAATACTGTTATAACGTACCGAAGTGAATGGCACTCGATGCATTAAGACGGCTTGTTAACAACATAATATAGAAATGGTCAAAATGAGCAGAATTCGACGCTAAGAAAGTCGGACTTGTACTCAGAAGCATTCTATACAAAAATGTCCCCAAGTTACATGCAACCATCCACGGTCGGATGCAGGAGTGCTAAGAAGGTCGGCTTGACCTGAACTGGACATGGTAATCTCCTACAGAAAGGGAGGGTGGGTGACGTACATCACTCCATGGAAGCTTGCGAAGTTGTGCAGGTGGGACGAAATGTATCCTTAGATGCTGTTATCGTGTTCATAATCAGACATTACATGCTGACCGTTGTATTTGTATATATCCATTATCTTTTGCCATTTCAGTGCGCCGGACGCGTATAAAACTTACATTGTCACCAACGAACATCCCTTAAAATACCTGATGAACATGCTGACGATGTGCGCTATGTAAAACATTGCAAAAACATCAAAATAGCACTTCAGAAATATAGAAAACAGTTTGTCAAGCACAGATTGATCTTCACATCCAAACGGCCTTTTTCCGCATGAAAAGGGTTTTCTTGGTACACCAGGTTTCTTTTCAAGCCTCCAGTCCCACATACCACTCCGAGCCAATCTCCCCCAGAGCGCGCATTAGGCATGTAATACTCATGCAGCCTTGAGGGCGAAAGGACGCGTCCATACAACAAAGACATCACATATAGCACATGCACCAAAATGTAGCCCGCTGAGTTGCAATGACACGCCCTGCTGACCTCAGGTCACGTCAGGTCAGATCAGGTCAGGTCCAATCTTCAGCCCTCAACACCAGCCCATCAGACCTCTACTTCTGTGCTCTGGCATCCCCGGCCACCGGGTTGAAGGACCTGCCGTAGCCGTGGCCACCGTTCCGCCCCTCCTGACGCCGCCGGTGACGTCTGGATAACCCTGACCCCTGTCCTTCGCGGGCCTTCTCTGTCCCGCTCTGTCGCCGGCCCTGTCCGGACAGGTCAGACGACCCCGAGCGTCCGTTGAAGTTGTCGCTCATGACGGCAGACAGGAGGTCCGTTTCGTCGTCTTCAGCGTCAGCAAAATCAGGCCAGTAGGTACCGTCCTGACTCAGTCCCAAGAGACGTTTACCACCCTGGGGCTTCTCAGGCCAGTAGATACCGTCTTGACTCAGTCCCAGGAGACGTTTACCATCCTGGGCATTTTCAGACCAGTAGGTACCGTCCTGACTCAGTCCTAGGGGACGTTTACCACCCTGGGCTTTCTCAGGCCAGTAGGTGCCGTCTTGACTCAGTCCCAGGAGACGTTTACCACCCCGGGCCTTCTCAGGCCAGTATGTGCCGTCTTGGTTCAGTCCCAGGAGGCCTTTACCGACCTGGACCTTCTCAGGCCAGTAGGTGCCGTCTTGACTCAGTCCCAGGAGACGTTTACCACCCCGGGCCTTCTCAGGCCAGTATGTGCCGTCTTGGTTCAGTCTCAGGAGGCCTTTACCGACCTGGGCCTTCTCAGGCCAGTAGGTGCCGTCTTGACTCAAACCCACGGGCCTTCTGACAGCTGCTGTGGCTGATGCCGCGAGGAGAGCGAGACAGATCTGGAAAAAAATGCGAAGGTCGCTTTTAGTGTGCGTGCTCGTGAAGTGTATTTGTAGATCTTTGACAGTTACAGTTTATCTATTTTTACGCTCATTCGTCATTGTTGTAACTCAGTGGTTCAAAGAGATGTCCGGCGTCAAGAAGCTTCACCGCTACCGTCCGGGCACGGTGGCTCTTCGCGAGATCCGTCACTACCAGAAGAGCACGAAGCTGCTCATTCGCAAGCTGCCGTTCCAGCGCCTGGTGCGCAAGATTGCGCAGGACTTCAAGACGGACCTGCGCTTCCAGAGCAGCGCTGTCATGGCTCTGCAGGAGGCCAGCGAGGCGTACCTGGTCGGTCTGTTCGAGGACACGAATCTGTGCGCCATCCACGCCAAGCGGATGACCATCATGCCCAAGGACATCCAGCTGGCGCGTCGCATTCGTGGCGAGCGTGCTTAAGCGCTAAGGGCGAAATCATCAACAGGTCCTTATCAGGACCAGAGACAATGGCGTGGAGTACGAGCTTGGGTGTGACACGAACGGACGACGAGGAGCTGTTCCAAATGTGAGAGCAATTAGCGCGCTCTGCCGGACGCTGTCAAACTGAAGGCCTCTTTGCCATCCGGGCAGAAACAGGCCAAAGTCCTCACCCATGACGGCATGTCAGTCCGGTTATGCGTGACAGTCAGTCTGCGACCTGATAATGTAAGAGCGAGTTACGTGGCTCTGATAAGAGCCATTGCAGCACCCCGACGGGCGGAGGTGATGGCACGCACACCAGCCTATTTCTTGGCGGCCTTCTTGGCCGGCGACTTTTTTGCTTGGGCGCCTTGGGCTTCTTGGCCGGCGACTTGGCTTTTTTGGCCTTGGTGGGCTTGGCCTTCTTAGCCTTGGCCGGTAACTTGGTGGCCTTCTTCTTATCAGCCGGCTTTTTGGCGGCCTTTTTGGGCGTCTTCTTGGCCTTGGCCGGTCCGGCGGACTTCTTTTTGGGCGGCTTGGTCGGCTTCTTGGCGGCCTTGTCCTTCGTGGCGGCCGACAGCTTGAACGAGCCGCTGGCACCCTTGCCCTTGGTCTGCACAAGCGCAACGCTGGTCACGCCGGACTTAAGAACGCGCTTGATGAAAAGTGCCAGCTTCTCGGCGTCCACCTTGTGGTTGGCGGCGATGTATTGTTTGATGGCGATCAGCGACGACCCGCCGCGTTCCTTGAGGCCCTTAATGGCGCCGCGCACCATCTCGCTGGTAGGCGGATGAACGCGCTTGGCCCGAGGCACCTTGGCCTTGGCCGCCTTGGCGGCGGGGCGACGGCTGGTGCGGCGGACGTCTCAGTCATGGCGGAATACAGAATGCCGGCTGCACGCGCAGAGTGCTGGGCACACGCCAGCCACTGCACCGTACCACCGCGCGACCGTCTAGCCGTGACGTCACGGCGCCCCGTGAGCGCGCCAGAAATATGGCTAGCACTCATCTGCGAACGCGCGTCGGCAGCCTCTCTCGGGTAATCACAGCACGCACCATGGCGCTGGGTGGCGGCGGCGATTTACTCTCGGCCAGTGTCCGAACCGGCCGCTGGAAGCACTCGGCGCGCGTCCGCGCGCGACGTCCGGTCGACGCCGTCGAGCGGTCGCCGGCTGGCCTCGTGCCGCCGTGCCCTTTCGCAGAGCCGTGCCGCACGTGCAATCGTGAAACGGTCCACACCCAGCGCCGACAGATGCCAAACACAATCATGTTACGACGAGCGAGCCGTTTACTGACGGCCTGCGCAGTACCAAGCAGAGTGTGACCGAAGCACGAAACAACGACTCGCTTCCAGCCGTTTGGCGCGCACCACGCACGAGCCGCATAGTGCTCAGCGTTCGTTGAGTGCCAGCGAAGCGTTGTGTCTGTTCGTCTGCCGGCCTGTTGCGTTGCCGCTGTGATTTGACACGTGAACTTTGCACGCAGAGCAGTGAGATCGGCGGCATATTCGCCGTGCGTGGTGTCATTTTCTCCATGGCTGAGATCACGTCGTAGCGTTGAGCACGCGTTGATGAGCTATCCGGCTTGATGACGACAATCGGGGCGAGGCTGAACTTGTCGCGCCATTAGCCACTCGACTCTCGGCTGCTGCTGTCGCCTTCTGAATAGGCAGCGCTTTTTTGTTCTGCGCCAACGCAGTCTTGGGCGTGTTCGCAGCGCACGCCGAGTGTGCTGTGGACGTCGCGTTGAACCTCTGCCGGACGCGCAGACACTTTTAAGTGTGTTCCATCACCAGAGGTGCCCACCAGCGATGAGACCGTGCTCCCATTCTAACGGGCACTCGTGGTACATATGGGACCTATCAGGGTCGCCCACTTCGGCCCATGTTGGCATGTCATGTGCAACCACCTGGATCCCACATGGGAAACCAGTGTCCTAGAATTGCCGACTTTGGATGTAAAGCAACACCCTATGAGGAGGAATTTTCACTCCTTTTCCTCATATTGTATGTGGATTTTTCACTCCTGCCTGACATTGTTTAATTGCACATGCCAAACCCCTATTTCTCTTTCTGAGGTTTTCAGCTGTCATCTAAAACCGAGCTCACTTGAAACCAACAAGCATAAACGAGGCTCCACAGAACATGGACACTTATGGCTATGCCCTGCCTCACCAACATCTGAATCATGTCTATGTACGCACCGATCAAGGGCGCCAGGTACCTCCAAGCCCAAGAACCCCATGATTGATGCTTCAGCAAACAAAGACAACTCATAGTTCTCAAAGAGCTCATAAGTTTCATCATTTGTAATTGATCTTTTTCACTCCTGCACGGTCTTTTTGCGATGGAATTTTTCACTACCACCCTAGTTCAAAAGCGATTCTAGCTCCCTGTGGGAAACCCACCCGTGGCCCATACAGGGCCAAACTGGAGCCGGCATGGAGCCCACCTGGACTGCCCAGTTAAGACACATTTCGGTTCATGTGAGCATGTCATGGGAAACCAGGTGGGTATCACATGGCCAGCCCACCTGGGGTCCACATGGAGCCTAACTGTATGCAACATGGGCTCACTTGGTCACACAGTTGAGACACGTGGGCATGTTCAGCTGGGGCCCACATGGGTATGTCCAACTAGGACACATACAGCCTGCTCAGATGGGGCCTATATAGCTAAACCAGATGGGCCTCTTTAACCATCATAGTTGGGCCTCAGTTAGGCTTCACAGGTCTGCCATTCAAATTCCGTCTCATTGGTGGACCGTCGTAGTTCCAGGAAGACCGCTCTATACCACCAATTACAAGCCAGGTCAAATCATTTAACAGTATTTGTCCGAAGTTGCCTTGAAAACGGAGCTGTTACACAACACATATACTTTTGTGTTGTTACGCCCGAGCAATAATCACTCAGAAATTCAACGGACGTCTCTCCCACCGAAACCATTTTTATGTTACCTATTCCGTTTCGTTTCGTTTCGCGTGTGGTGTGTTGTGCAGGATGCAACCTGAAAATGGCGATATTCAGTACTTCAGATCACTGCTCCATGGCCTGAGTGTCGATGATTGATGATGGCACAGATTTTGGTACTGACAGACCTGATTTTACGTTAAAGGGAATGTTCCACATTTGGGGATATTGAGATAAGTATCAGATCTGTTGGAAAAAGCTTACTTGTAACTATTGGTAAGCTTTTAAGGTTTAAAAACGACCATAAGTAGCAAATTTCAAAGCTTGAAAAATTGCGCCCCATTACGTCATTGTTTGGTGGTGTCATGGAATGGTTTAGTGACGACAGCAATACCTGGCAGCATCCGGCAGCCAGACTCAAAGAATACTTCGGAACGCACGAAACCTGACGCCAACCGGCCGTTCTCGTCGCGGGCGCCGTGTTGGGTGGCGGATTGGTGACTGACTTGTTAATGGATTTTTGTCTTGGTACTGGTCGTAAAAGATGGTTTGGTTGGTTGTTTGACATAGTAGCGATCGCCATCTTTTCAGGCAGATTAGTAATATTAAAGCACGATATGCTGTGAAGACTGTCATATAACGTCATGAATGCCTTACCGAAACCTGCCAAGGACTGTTCAGGATGTCATTACCGTATTGTTGACTTATCCTTGCCTGCAGTGCTGCAGTCCTCACATTGATATCTTGTGATGTGCACAGTAGTTGCTTTCTTTATTAGTGGTGAGTGGAAATACAGTCCCATGCAAAAAATAACAATGGATCTGTAACATTGCTATCAATAGATTGTCAAAGCATTGCTAGTACTATGGTAAAGATGGTCAACTTGAGCTACCAATTTCTTGCTCTGGATTATTTATGCAATTACTTGCAAACCCTGATATAACCATTGTGGTGCAGCAGCATACTTGCTGGTGATAGACCTTTGGCGTTGTTAATCAGTTGTTACCAGTCATTCATAAATTATAGGCTGTTATATCATGGTCTTGACATAGAGTAGTCAACCAATGTTGGTTAATTGTGTAATGGCAGGGGTCAACAGTGTCATTGTGACACTATCTCAGTGCTGCACTGTGGTATGACATACTGAATAATGACATGGTTTTTGTACTGCAACCCCTGCTGCCTTCGTGATGAATTTTATCATGAAAAAATACGTCAAGCGTGCATTCCTGTATTAACTCCGCATCTGACATATAACTGACCGAAAACACATGATGCAATATACAAATCACTTCCAGTAAAGCACACAACCAATAAGTGATATCACTTGCTCAGCATGCTTTGGGAATCCACAAAACATAGGTGACAAAGATGCGAACACGTCTTCTGCTTCCACGGCCATGCACCATGCTGCAGACATCGGGCTGCTTCACTCAGAAATATTGTTCGCACAAGCAATAACGCATGTATAGCAAGAAAACACTGCCTGTAGTGAAATGACACTGCAAACCTGCTGGCCTTGCACAATGCTAAAGACATAACAACTGAATGTGGTCATGGCTAGACGGGCGAAATGCAGGGAAGTGATAAGCCGCCAGTGCACACAAGGCCTATTATAAAATACTATTAAGTGTTATCCAAGAAACCAACAGCCATACTTCCCCTCCTTTCTCAGCACCCAGCATCTCACACATGTTGCAGTGACTATGATATTGATGACCCGCAAGTAATGCTTGCCTGCATACAAAACTTGTTAAGATAGCAGTATACTCATTCCTAAGACTACAGCACCATATTTTCAGACTTCTTTTAAGTGAAAGACAATTTTGCGAAGCTGTATCATGCGAGCTTATATCAGGTGCTTTAATGAGCCGTACTGACCTGTCCCTCTTGCCTAAATGAATGGTTAATACAATGACAGGCAATGGATTGATTATATACTGTGAAACCTCAATAGGTTCAAGATGTTGGCAAGATCATAATAAAGTAGCAAATTGTCTTTGAACACCCCTGCAGTATGGGTGCTAGCGTTTCTTTCAGTTTGCCGACGTCGCTGCTTGCTGTCATGTTCAAACACAAACCTAAAGATCGATACAGGTATCACTGTGTCACATTTTGTTGGAAGTCATTAGATTTAAGGAATGCCAACAATATTTATTTCTCTCAGAAATAAAAAACCTCGCAAGCACACTCTCCACCACATAAAAATAATACAAGCCACTGGCACGCACCACCAGTGATCACACCCATTTCAAGCGCCTGATTCACACTCTAATAGAAAAGAAGAGTGATCCCACACTTGCACAATCCGCGGGACTT